TCTTCCCCTTCTTTAAGGCTCCGCCTTGCTCATTCCATCGCTTTCCCTCCTTCATTCCTTCCCCCACCTTCACTTACTTTCACTGGGATGGTGCAAAGTGTTGGAGTGTGGGAAGGGATTCTCAGGAGAGGCTAGGGCAAGGGGGTTGGGTACACAAGGGATCTCAGGACTGGGTCAGGAGGTTTCACTTCAGGAGGGAGCTCAGGGCTGGGGTAGGGGGTTCGGGTATAGACTCCAGCCAGGTGGCACTTACCTCAGACAGCTCCCAGGGAGCAACACGGCAGGACTAAACCAGGCTTCCTGCTTGCCCTGACTTTGTGCAGCTACTAGAATTGGCTGGCATGTCCTTGTGGCCTATAGGGGCAGTAGGCAAGGTGGCTCTGTGCGTTGCTTCCGCAGCTCCCATTATCAGCAGTTCCCAGCCAATGGATGCTGAAGAATCAGTGCTCAAGGTGAGGGCAGCACATGGGGATCTGGTCCCCTCCTCTACCTAGGGGCCATAGGAATGTGCCGACCACTTCTGGGAGCAGTATGGGGCCAGGGCAGGCAGGTAATCTGTCTTAGCCTTGCTGCCCGACAATACTTGTAGTGGTTTAAAATCTCTGGGACTGTCTTCAGTAATCTCAGGGAAATTAAACCTGATTCCAGGACAATTCCAGAAAATCCATGGGGGTTGGGAACCCTAGCCACTCTATGGACAAAAATTAATTTCATATTCTGGAGTGAGTGGTGCATAAGCAGCCAAATTGCATTTGAAACCAAAGTAGAATAACTATGTTTTAAAACAAAAGTTCAAACTGTGTTTTCAAAGTTCAAACCCCAGTATTGATAGAGGTACCTGATGTTAGGATTAACCTTAGTTTCCCTCCTGCAGTTAACAGAACTACTGCTTTATGAGTGTCTCTTCATTGTGAAGGAAGATGGGTATGGAATCAATAAAATGATAACTTTCAAAGAAGGAAGATAGATATCCATAGATGAACCATCTCATTGTTTTGTATTCTATTTCTTTGGTGCAAAGGATGGTTGTAGGAAATTCTCTTGTTTGGTTTGGTTTGGTTGTCAATGGTCACCACTAAATGATGCAACCCCGCCCCCCAATCATGTCAAGAGCAAATAACATTAGCTTATATTAGAGTATTCCATGCACTGTAAAAAGTCCTCCATACTCCAATTTCACATAAATAAAACACCATGCCAGTTCAGATATTTTCAGAGTTACTGTTTCATATATGCTCATAAAGTTACTTGAAATATCTTAGTCATCAGACATTACAATTGCACAGTCTTGAAACTTTAAATGATGTATGCACGACTTTATCCTTCTTTGGTACAATATATTGACTTTTCTTCAAGATGCTGAAAAATGTCATTATGAACAGTGAAGTGAATGGAAACTGTAGGTGCTCAGCATTTTTGAAAGTTTGCCTGTATCTACTTTAGGACAGCAGTAAGCACTTACACATTAGCCCAACTCAGTAAAAAAATTATATCAACAAGCAACCTGAACACATGCCTGGAAACTACCTGAATGCATGTAGCCAGAGTTTGAGATTATGAATTAATAGAGGCTGTACCTCCAAAAACTGGCACTCTTGGGTCTGACAACATTCCTCATCCAGCAGGACCACAGATGCTCCTAAACCAGAGAGCCCGGGAGCCTGAGGGCAGGAGGTCCAGCCAGGCTCAGGCAACAGGGTCAGAAGCCAGGCTGGGGGCAGTGCAAGACTGGGGCCAGAGCCTCATTGCAGCCTCCAGCAGCCCACAGCAGCACAGGGCAATGCTGGAGTCCCATGGCAGCATGGGTTGGCTCTGGGCTGGAGCCCCTCAGCAGTCCTGGATTGCTGTGGCAGCCCCCGGAAGTTTGGGGCTGAGGTCAGAGCTCCACAGCAGCGTGAGACAAAAGTCTTTTGGCAGCTTTTTGGAGCATGGAGCCGGAGCCAGGGCCAAGGCTCCCCTGGAGCATGGGACTGGGGCACCACAGCAGCTCCTGGGAGCGTGGGGCTGGAGTGGAGCTCCACGGCAGTGGAGGGCCAAAGCCCCACAGCAGCCCGCTGGAGCACGGGGCTGGGGCCAGAGCCCCACTGTTGCCCTCAAATGTGTCAGGCTGGAGTCCTGTGGAAGGAATCTGCTGCCAAGGGAGCCAGCAGAAACTGGACAAGCAGCCCTGCCAGATTGGGGAGGAGTGGATGAGACTGGGTGCTTGCAGGGGCAGCCTGCCAGCAGCAGGCAATGGGTTTAGGAGCCAGTGGCAGGAGTTTTCCCCTGGTCTGGCTAATTCTCTTGTTTGGGACCAGTCAGGTTCTGATGGTGCCAACCTGTACTTAAATTCAACATACCAGGAATTAATTTTTAAATAAGGAACACGTACCTAATACAGAGGTATAAAATTAGTGAAGTTACTACAAAATATAATATTTATTAAGTAATTCAATCTATTTATCTGTATGAAATTTAAAATAAATGAGAAACAAAGAACAAAAGGAAAGGTAAAGAACAAATTACAGGGGACACAACACAAAATATTCTTTGTGGGGATGGTCTTTTAAATATTTTGTATTCTGTAAAAATTCTAGTCTCACAGGTGGTTGTCCTACTATCTTGACAATAAATCTTAATTTGGAGGATGGGGTGAATGAGCTGTTATTGTAAAAACCAACATCCAGTTAATTCTGGTTTCGTCTATAATCAAGTAATTAATGACTTACTGTATTGCATCTTACTTGAAATTTACCTGAAATATGTCCTTATTATCAGTAAAATACCATGCAAGTTACAACTCAGAACACAATCAAGTCTGAAATAACGAGGAGTCTGGAATTAAGCAAGCTATTTAAATTGAAACACACAAAGGAAATTGAAATGCTAGAGATAGCCACATGTGATCTGACCTTCTAACCTCCAGCACTGCGTGTTCAGACTGCATTTCCCAGTAAAAACAAAATCAACGAATCCATTCAGTCAGTACCTATCAAGGTAATTCTGCTAAAGACGGTTTGCTCATGGTGGTTTTACTCAGCATGTCCTCTATTCTAAAGAAATGATCGATGACATTCTGAAGAAAATATCAGCCCATAGAGGGAGAAATAAGTTACCTTTAAAAGGGCTGCCATTTTCTCTATTCTTGATAAGATTGTGTAAAACATGCATAGGCCCCCTTTACTAGAGGGGCATCTGACCTTTATTGGAAGTGTTCCAATTGGGAAGATCCTGTGTGCTGCAATCTAGCCTGAAAGACTTCAACTCCCATGATGGCTTGGGGAAAATGGGGAAGACATCTGTGTTTCAGGGAGTGCAGAGATTGCAGGTGGCGGACTCTATTTTGGGGATAGGAGTCACATTGCTGGGGTGGAGTCTTTCCTTGCTAGAAGCTGCTGCTGAAAGCCCGCTGGGGCTGTGATTAAACAGGGAGTTTCATAGGTCTCTGGAGCCAAGGGTGAGACTTGCTTTGCCTAGAGCTGACTGAGATGGGCCTGTAGGAAGGAATTTTGAACTATCCCCACCCTTGTTTGGGAGAGCACTTTCAAGGGAAAAGAGGCACAGCAGAGAGACTGGGTTGGAAGAGAGGCAGAGCGATCTTCCCATTGAACCAGAACCCAGAGCTGCTGACATTTGGTGAGGCCAGCTCCAGTCTTCAGAGGAGCTATGCAGTTTAATGCCTGGGCTGGACTGACACACAGAACCTGCACAGTTCTAATAACCACTCCAGCTGCCCATCTTTAAGCTTGCCAGTGCAAGCAAATGCCAGGGACTCTGAAATCCAGAGGAGTGTGCACTGGAGTGTGGTAACTGGTGGCAGTCTAAATGCCAGTTAGACGAGTTTCATTTATTACTGTATCCCCTATTTGTGAATTGATTTTATTTAACTGCCCCCTGTGGATTTAAATTAGTACTGACCTTTAATATTAGTCTGCTAAACCCTGTTTCTTTAAATTGCTAAGTAAAAAAAAGTGTTAATTCTAATTTAAGTACACTGGTATTTCATGCCACAGACCATTTATTAATTATGATGATGTATTAGAATGGGTATATTTCTGGAGGTTCCCAAGGCACACCATTAAGGGTGAAGAGGGCATAGCCAGATGGAGGTACTACTAATTTTAAATTCCTTTAGGAGTAAGGGACTGCAACTGAGCGGTGGAGAGACATAATCACCAATGGAATACTCTGGATCTCCTTTAATGTCAACATCATCAGATGCCCACATATACAGGTGAGTTTTGCCTGCTCTCAAGTAACCCAGGAAGGAAAGTGGGGGAGGGAGGGAGGGAGTACATATGCTTTCTTCTGAAATAAAAAAGAATTATTGAAATCAACTGCTTTTTTTATTATAGATACACTGGGCTGGAGTGTATATTCAAAGTAAAAAAAACCCATATATATATATTTAAAAAAAACACCTTCAACTAGGCTCCGAAGGAGCTCTCACTGTAAGCTGTTTCTAATGAGTTGCCATTTTTATCCATAAAATACAATTATCCTTTCAATCACACTAATTTATATAAATTACATTTAAAATGCCTGGCTTTTGTGCTGTTGTGGCAGAATAAGATGTAATACTGGTCTGAAACTTCTAAATGCTACAAGAGTACCAAATTGGATTAATAAAATGGGATGTGTGAACTTAATCAGCAACAATATTTGAAATGTTTGATGGAAGTACATAAAGGTCTGAATGGTGTGTACTTTCATCCCATCATGAGACTGGGGATCAGAGAATTTAAACAGAACCGGTATCTCTCCTGCCTGACTAGGTAGGCTGAACACTTGCTCTTTTTCTTTGATGATCACAAGAACTTTCCACTGGAGGGCAGTGAGAATAGAACTGTTGAAATAGAATACATAACTCCAGATTTATTGAGCAGCAAGCGCTTTCATCCATTCGCTAGCCCAGTGCCAGAAAACAGAAATAAGCTACAGGTTGTCATCCTTACACAATTTAGTCCATTGTGAGTTAAGTTTTGGAAGGTGGTTGGAAGGCAGACCATGCTGTAAAATCCATTTTGTTCAATATTTGTCTGCCCATTTTCCATTAAGTTGCAACTGTGGCATTGTCTAATAAACATTGTTTCTCAGAACCTGTCAAAATTCCAATTGGCTTGCAATATCCAGCAATTTTGTCACTACAGTTGACTATCACATGAAATTAGGCATCATGAACTCAGAGTTTCTAAAAGCAAAGCATGTCAAGTTTATTTCAAAATGCTCTTAAATACTGCACACTTGTTTATTCTTACTTTTTCTTTTCTGTTGTCCCAGGTGTTTTAATATTTTGTCTTTGCCTGTCTATGCATCTTTATGTAACCAGACCAGAAAATACAGGTGCCTTCTTTCTGAACTAGAATGAAAACAAAAGCTTTCGAAACCTTTTCACTAGTGTATGTGGTGGATAGAGTGTTGGCTGGTGGATCTGAGAGATCCAGGTTCAAGCTTTGGCTCCAAATAATTCATAGAAGAGTTTTTCATCCCAGATCACTCTGATTCAAGAATTCAAACCAAGGTCTCCTGTCTCCAAAGTGAGTGTCATAGTTACCAAGAACAAAGTGTGAGACAGAGCCTCTCTATCTCTCAACTCAGCTGGAGGGAAGATTTTAATCAGCAAAATGTGAATGATAATTGGAAATCATTTAAGAACATCTTATTACATGTTCAACAAGTCATAGTCTCACAGCTGAGAAAGAAGCCGATCTGGTTTAGAGAGAAAGTCAAGACAGCTATAAATAGAACAAAGAAAGACCAAGTAGATAATGACTATAAATCAGAAATTAAAAATTGTAGAAAATATATAAAGGAAGCAAAAGGATACAATGAGAAATTTATGGCCAGCAGAATGAAGAGTAATGAGATAGAGGGGGTTTAAAATATTTTGGGGGAAGGGGGAAGACGCTGACTAAGTAATTTTGAAATAATCCTAGTTATTTCGAAATAATGTTGCTATATAGACATACCCTAAGATATATGACATCTGGATTATAAGCGTAGAATGATATAAAACAAATATGGTACACATTAAATGGACTATAAACTGGCTAAGTGATGAGTCTGAAAATGGTGGAGTATCCATACGAACAATTTTTAAATCAAGATGATAATTTTTAAAAATGGGCCCACAATTATTTGGAGGAAGTTTAATGGCCTCTATTATACAGGAGATCAAATTGGACAATCACAGTTGTCCATTTTGTCCTTGGGATCTATTAATTCATCAAAAGCAATCATTTTGAGCATGTTACCTAAATTTCATTTATTTAAAAATGTTTCGACCAGCTCTGATAAGAATTATTAATCATTACTGCTAGTGCCTGTTCAAGCATGTCCAAGGCTGTCAACCCTCCTCCCCGCCCCTGCCACTCCCTCTTAGAGCTCCAGGACAGCCCACCTCACTGAAGACCCCAGTCCCAAAACTTTGAGGAAATACTTGAGAATTTAAGTCCTGTTCAGAACACTTAGGCTATGACTACACTCGCGGCTTCTTGCGCGAGTAGTATGCAAATGAGGCTAAGCGTGGAATATTGCAGAGCCTCATTTGCATTCCTAATGAGCCACCATTTTTTTTCAGAAGAGGCTCTTGCGCAAGAAGGAGCGTCTACACTGCCCCTTCTTGCGCAAGAAAAACCCTCTTGCGCAATGCCGTTACACCTATTACTTTTCAGGAAGAACGGCGTTGCGCAAGAGGGTTTTTCTTGTGCAAGAAGGGGCAGTGTAGACACTCTTGCGCAAGAGCCTCTTCTGAAAAAATGGTGGCTCATTAGGTATGCAAATGAGGCTCGGCGATATTCCACGCTTAGCCTCATTTGCATGTTACTCGCGCAAGATGCCGCGAGTGTAGACATAGCCTTACTGAAGAATCTGGCTGGAGGAGATATTTGAGCAGACTTAAGGGAAGGTATGTCAGCATTTTTTCATGTCCAAGCCCTGAATAACTCTTTAGTTCAGTTTCCCACACTAAACATGGCAACATTCTAAATTATTAATCATGAGGCTTCAGTCATAAATATTAGTAAAGAGTTTTGAGATCCCCAGAGGAATTGTGTTAAAGAAGTGTAAAGTTCTATTATCATATTGAAACACTTATATTTTAGAACACAGTTTATACATAAGAAAAGACTTATTTTGGCATGGAAGCTGGATTTGTTTTCCCATCTTTCCTGGGGCCAGTTTTAAGAACTGGCAGTTGAGAAATCTGCTTGTGTACACAAGTTATAGCCTGAATAATTTCTCAGGGCCATTCAAGATTTGCAAAACCCCTTTGATGTACCAACAAATCAATCAATATCTGCAAATCAGACATTACCTGTTCTCAGGGGGTAAATTTCCGAGACTTAGATAATATCCTCTACATTGTTTCAGCCTAAGTTTTCCTTTTTTGATCAATTCTGTGCCTTCATTCCGTGCTGTAAAATCTTAGTCAACACTGGTATATCTGCCAGAACAGACACTCTAGAGGATGAGAGTTTTGGTTTAATGCCCACAATGTTTCTTTATGTAATCATGGGTAAGGAGCTGATGTTTTTACTGCTTCAACAATCACTCAGATATCCACAAATCTGAAGAAGACTTAATAAGAACTATTCACTGGTCTGTTGAAATATCTCAGAAATACCTGTGGTAAATCTGTCTGCTAGTTTAGCACGTCTGACATTTTGGTTCAGATTCATGTCACAATGAATATTTAAAGCTTCAATTCACTGGAGTCCAACCCATTTCCCTTCTAGGTGAATAGACTCATAACACTGTCTTTAATAACTTTAGAAGTTTTGTCCTCCATTGGTTTTAAAATATTGTTTCATTTGCTAGCTCCCATAGATGTGTGATATTGCATGTAAGAATATAAGAAATGCCCTAACTTTTGCAGGTCGGTAGCATATTCAGCAATACTAGATGCTTCAGGGAAAGGTGTATAAAAGTTGTAAAAAACTTCATAATGGAAAATTACCTGTCCATAGGCTAGATTTCTTCCCAATATCATTAGTCAGTTCATTCTTGGCTTATGTCCTGAAGGAGGATGGTTTGTACTCCAGATCTGCATTTGGATTACCTTCCCTAACTGTGGGAAGAAAGGCTCTATGAGAGAGCCTCACATCCAGGTCATCTACAGATACCATTTTGCATTCCTTTTGCTCTTATCTAACCCATGCTCGCCAATATTTGTCAGAAAGAAATACAGAAGGTAATTCACACAATTATCACTGTTCTGTGGCCTGTTTTTGACAACTAGATTTTGACTACTAAGCCCTCTATGTCTTATCACACTATACATTCTTAATCATAGAATCACAGCATTGTAGAGATGGAAGGATCATCTAAGCCAGATGCCTGCGATGAGACAGACCAAGTATACCTAACCATCTCTGACACATGTTTGTCAAGTTCCAGTGATGGGGGTTCCCAAAGCTCCCTTTAAGCCTATTTCCCTTGCTGCAGATTAAGCCCATTATCTCTTATCCTACTTTTGGAAGACATGAAGAACAATTGATCAATGTCCTTTTTATAACAACTTTTAACATATTTGAAGACTGTTATCAGGTTCTCTCAGAGCTGTCTTTTTTTTCAAGACTAAACATACCCTTTTTTAAACTCTTCCTCATGAGTCAGCTTTTCTTAAACCTTTTGTCTTCTTTGTTGCTCTGTTGTCCAGATCTTTCCGAAAGTGGCATCTTCCAGAATTGGACATAATTCACCAGCTGAGGCTTCACTAGAGCCAAAGAGAGTGGACATTTCCTTGTTATACATATGACTATTCCCATTAATATACCTGTAACAGAATACATTCCTGTATTCTAACCCTATGCACTATTGTAATAATCTTTATCCTAAGTATGCCTTGTAAGATACCACAGGAAAACTCATAGTTTGCTTGTCAGTATTGTCCTGATATAGTGTTTGGAAAAATTGCATGCAAAGTTATAGGATTTCCCTGTATGGTTTAAACATATGTTCCAAACCCCACAGCCTTACTCAAATTAATGTTGGCAAACACATCTGCCCTAAACAAAAGAAGGCAGAATCTGTTTAATTTGCATTTAAACAGTATACAGTCATCAAGCAGGAAGGGAAACAAAGGGAGCCCAGAAAGGTGAGAAAAAGCCAGCAAAGAACCTTCTTTCACATAGATTTTTTTTCTCCATATTTTTCATGAGAGAGAGACTCAAACCATGAAAAGGAAGGAACAAACATTCCCAAGCACCTCTCTTTCTTCTCCTGCTCAACGCATTCATTTGACTGGAATTAACAAAAGCGGCATTTGTTGGACTTGGAGGAAAGGGGTCCTGATGTAAAAATGTAAGTAAGACAGCTGAAAGCATGTTGAGAAAACTTTGCTTTGAATTTAACAGTTTGTTAAATTAGGCATCAGTAGCATTATATTTTTCATGTTAGCTTGTGTGATTTTTATGACTCATTGACTGTTCATTTATAATCTCTCTCTTTGTAGTTAAAGCTGTTTTATCTAATCAAGTGAGTTTAAACTGAAGTGTCTGGGAAACTTCATCTGCAGTGACAAATCATTTGCATATTATTCCTAAAGAAATAATGGGCCTAATATAGCTTGTATTGTATGATTGACTGTCCATATTTGTGAAGGAAATCTAAGATGGGGTGCATGCTGGAGTATAACCAAGGCTGGTGAGAGCCACAATGTAATCCTAGTGTGGCTGGCAGGTGGCAGTTATACCAGACACTCAGGATTGGCTTGCACATGAGGAAGGCTGTTTGTTAGCAGCTCAGGTGAGAACTATTTCAGCAAGACATTGTAAGGCACCAAGGTTGTAGGCCACGGGTGATACAAGTGCTCATTAGAGTGTACCCTGACAGGTCCTGGCACTCCAAAGTTATATTAGCATTTTTTGCAAATGTACCATATTATTGGCGGATGCTCACTTTGTGATCTACTAAGACCAGGCACATTTTACAGAAGTATTACTGGTTAGCCATTTAGTCCCCACTTTTTATTTGTTCATCTCCATCCTTATTGAATCTCATCTTATTGATTATGTACACATTTTCTGATTGATCAAGGCCATTTTGAATTCTAATGCTGTCCTCCAGAGTGCTTTCAACCCTCCCCTGCCTCACTAGAGCATGGTGACATCCAAAAATGTATGAACATAGTTGCCACTCCATTATCCAATTAATAATGAAAATACTGAATAGTACCAGATCCTGGAGAGACCCTTTCAGGACAACACTTGATATGCCCTTTCCATTTCACAGAGAACCACTGATAACTGCTCTTTGAGTATGGCATTTCAAGCAGGTATACATCTACTTTATAGTAATTTCATCTAAACCAAAGTGCCCTAGTTTGCTTATGACTCGATCAACAGTTCACATCAATAGGACCAGTTCAGTCTTGGTTTTTGTGATATCTGAAGTCAATGTGAATTTACACCAGGGAAACTAAAACCAGAATTTCATCCTGTGACATGATAAAATTGTAAAAAATTAATTCAACAGATTAAATAATAATGCATCAGGTAGATGACATACTGAAATGTTGTGTGGGGGATCTTAAGTGTCATGTTATATTAGACTGCAGATTTGGTAGGAATAAGATACATCTGGACAATTTATTACAATTTCTATTTTTTTCCTGTTCAAGAGTTTAGATCCTGTATTATGTAATACTGTGGCAAAATCCTTCTAGTATTTCTAAAAGCTATTTTTAATATTAATAACATTTTCTAACATGCTTTTTCCTGAGCATGGGAGGGGAGGAAACATTTTTTTTCCTTGTTCTTTCCTTACAAATATTTTCTTTTGAAACTCTCTGATTACATGAACATATTTCTCATAGCCCTCTTGGGCAAGACAGATTAATAAAGTGAAAGAACAGCAATAAATAATAAAGGGAAAGGTAAAAATCAGCAACCTATTTATTTAAATTGATGTTTTAAATGTATTATTCTCCTAGAGTTCATTCATTTTGCTCCTTTATTTATGCCTACTTATTAAATTCAACTGCAAGATGTAAATAAGTGACATGACATTACATGGGACATAATTTAGCAACCTTGACTACAGGTTTGGAAAAAAAAAATCTTGATCCCCTGGAACCACAGGTTTAAATCTAAGCAGTCAACAGAGCAGTTTTGTTCTTTCAAGATAGAAAACATACTACTCAGTTTATATGTGTGGTTCTTTCAGATGAATCTTTTTTAGTGTTCTTTCTCATTCACATGCTTCTTGCTTCAGAAGAGCAGGAGTTTGCTCTATTATTTGGGAACAAATAGCTCCTCTAATCAATAGTGGATCACCACAT